ATATATAGTATTATTAATATATATGCATACATAGTGAAGATTTTCGCTGTTATATCGTTGAAGTATTTTCGTTTTTGTAAATAATATTTAATTTATTGCGGACCGTTTGTACCTGAAGTTTTTTCCGTTCACATGTGTGTGTGTGTGTGTGTGTGATACTTTTTGGAATACCATGTCGTATGGTTTTGTTCAACGGCAATTTTGCTGCTGCAGTCTGATAGTTGTTATTATTGTTTTACTAGTATTATTTAATTAATTCACAACTAAGTACATTAATTTTTGGTTAAATATAAAATTCTTTTCAGAGTGCAACATGTGTACTACAGCATTCTAAGGAGCAGGTTTAGTGTCTATGGGTGCCTCACAACACATGGCGCAAAATATCAGCAGTATCCAATGGCAATCTCAACGATATCTCACACTTCCCTGACTTTTAAATGCTTAGGGATTTGCAAAAGTTCTTACATATGTTTTGCGGAACAAATCTCAACGCTTCCGTGAGTATCGATACGACCTGCGCTTTACCTCGCACACTCGGTTATCTCGATTTCCAATCTGATGTGTTTAAGACATTTCTCTGTCTCCTTGGTTATTGTGAACACAATAACGGTAACAATAACAACTTGGTTCGGCCTAACAAATTTCAAGCAGACACGATGTTTTTTTCAAAATACCAAATAGTAATATCTGGTGTGTTTGCCGCCATCACCCAATTTGAATTTGTTGGTCATCCAATATTGTATACAGTTTAACAGGCGTCAGAGGTTTCTGTTCGTGTTTGGAACATTGATGGCGTTGCAGATCTATCAGAGGAGGTACCTCCAGACCATGTTGTCCCTTTGCTGCAACTGGACAAGCTAAACCATATGATCATTAATTTCTACTAGTTCCTAACAAATTTATATTCGTGGGAAATTTTTGGAACTACTGTAGCAGCTGTAAAAACTAATTTCGATTCTTGTTTCATTATTCTTCTTTTGATCCCCATGAATAAGGCCCCTGGTTTTTGTTTATCTGTAGATTACCCATTCTTTTTAGATATTGTCCGCTGAGTTTGTGTCTTTTTCTTTAACATTTTTGTGCTCCTCTTTCCATGCCAATTAGCATCAGCAATCAATTGTCTGTGTTAGTGTGCCTGTATTACATAGTTTTCTTCACAGTGATTTATGCTACACATACAATGCTACTGAACCAATTATTTCAATCAGATTTAATGACCAGCTCCACAAGTGGAGCATCTTGATGACTGATCACATTCATGTCAACTATCATTGCATTTTTCAACCCTCACTTACAAACGGGAGAAGTATATTATCTACTCTAGCTTTGGTCTCTGAACTTGGGGACCCCTTTTTTTCTTCTCGATTACAAAGAAAGGATTTTTATGACCATGTGATGTGAAACTCATGGAAGAAGATCAGCCTGAGAGTGCAGCAACTTGTTTCCGCTTGTGTGAGCATTACGTCCAGGAATACAGAGTATTACTCTCGTGACTCTAACGTATTTACCAAATGATGCAGACTTCTCAGATCTTACAAAACCACAAAGGAAGCAGAGATTTATTCACACTCAAGAGATGTGGAACTGGTAAAATACTGCATAAAAATGAAGTAAACGAGATAAAAAAACAGCTTTTTGGACTTAAGTGGACTGTCAAAGATAGATAGCCAAAGAGCGGACTGTCAAAAATTCATGGAGCCAAAGAAAAATGTATCAAGTGTAAACAATGATTTCAAGGATGTGTTGAACAGCGTCTGAGAAAAGCTGTACTTTGATGAAGTAAGACTTGTGTTATAAATAATGATCATGAAGCGGACTCAACAAAAGTAACAAAGGTTTTTAAGAGCCCTGAGCCAAGTTTATTCCGAAACAAGATGAGAAGTCGTATCCGAGGAGCCACGAAAAATTGGTGGAGCTGAGAAAGATATTAAAATACTCACAACAAATATACCATCAACTTCTGATCAACAACGTCGACTTTGTGAAGATAAGAGATGCAGAAGAAAGCAACCACTCCATTGCTAAGAGAAGATATACTAATGAAGAAAGTGACTTAAACGCAAATAAGATTCAATTTTTTCTATGTAGCAAAGCGATTTTTCCTTTTAGGCCATTAATAGATTGTAGAAAAAGCAGAACTAGAGGAAATTATGTGTATGCAACTTGTGTTATATATCTATCTATTGTATGACGATGACAAAGCCCACCCTAAGACTAAGAAGACCATAACATACTGTGGAGGGATGTCTGTGCTAACCACACAAACCCCTTATCCCATGACCGAGCGGCTGGGCCACCGCTGGTCGACCATGGCCAGTACTGGGCTGTCGAGCCAAGAACAGAAACGTGTTCTGTAGCAATAATGCTGGCAGAGTTTATTTTATTTCAGTAATAAAATTCAATAGCAAAATAAAATTTCATCACTTTTCATTAAAACGACCTAATGTTTTGAAATAATTTATTAATCGGCTATGTAGTTAATGACCCCAAATTCAATTATTTTTAAAAATTAAAAAAACTACAAGGTAAAAACTAAAATTTTTACATCAATAATTAATTTACAATCTGTACCAGAAATGAGATCATGAGAATTATTACACAACTCATTGATTACAGTAACAGGAAACACATTCTCATTTTCTCCAAACTAATCATTTGTACTTGGCTTTTGATGTATTCACTTTTATATAACGCAATGTTTGCTGCAAGTTTGAAGATGGAAGTTGAAGTTCTTCAGTTGATTTGCAAGTGGTTAATATTTTTTTCTTGTCAGTTGCTGTCAATTGCTGACAAAAGACTATGATCTAATGGGAACTCAATATCTATTATTATCGTCCTACGGGAGGCAGTTTCATCGGACACCGCAAATCGGGCTTATTTGCTTCCATTTATCAATTACAATAGGGGTATCCCACACGACTTTTATTCTTTCATTTGATAGTATCTACCCCGGTAGATACTTGTAGTGAGGCCTTCCTTTACCAGACCAATTCTCACTGATAAGAGCTTGTTTGGCTACATTGTTTGACGTAAGTAATATGTTGGTTCCAACAGAAAATTCACTGCAAATGCGCTGAATAGATTCGGTGGCCTTATTACAAAGGCGACTAGTCACTGATGTTCTCTTTCATTATATATCACCTATAGTTGCTAGTGACAACTATCTGATCTTGCATGGTCAGCATAAATCCTTGTCTCACCAAAATGTTCAGCGGTTCTGCTCACCAAAATATTCAGCGGTAACCAGTCAGTCAATCTGTTCATATACTCGTAGATGAGATTAATTCGAAGTGCTGTAGTAAATCTGCCATATTATTTCTCATATTTACACTGCTAAATTGGATACTGAGGCTTGATAAATATCGTAATGTGGTCTTCTTGGAGCAGCTTCAGGGGTGTACCTTACATTATTAGCACAGAATGTCATCATGGCTTCATTGTTAATGAAATAATGTCTAATCTGTTTTCATGTTGGCGGCACATAACTTCAACACTTAATAGTCCACGGCTTTCATACTGTCTAATACGATATAGCCTTTGAGGGTGATGAACATTATGTTAAGAGTGTTCTCGTATATCGAAGGTTTATAAAAATGTATCAGACCACTCAACAACTCCATGGGTATGTGATGCTGATGAAGGAACCCGGGTGTTAATTTTGTATCTCATTTTCATACAGGGCATGCAGATCTTTATAACATGAAAACCTTTTCTTTACTTGTTCCCTTTTATTATAATAATAATAATAGTAATAATAATAATAATAATAATAATAAAATAACAAATAATTATTATCATTATTACAGTTATTTTATTCAATCATGTATAATTAGAAGAATGATAGCTCTTTGTAATAACAGTATCTCCATGTAGAAAATAATATACTTTTATTTTATTCACAAGACTAAATACGTAACTTCCTAATGGTTAAAAATTTGGTGCTTTATAGCCTCTTATCGCCTGCGAGTGAAAAAAAAACTTGTTAACTTCCTTCGTGGGTTGCTTATGCAGTGATGCAGGAAATTGTTTAGTCTGACGTAACTTCATATGGGAATATTTTACAATTTTGTATTTTATTAAAACAAACAGGGTAAAATCAAATCAAATATTAACCATAACCATCAAGAAACTTTATTTATTCGAGAAATGTAGCAATCTCACTCCGTCGATCGTGAAGTATTTTTCCCTCTGGTATACAAAGTTTATTTTTACCGTCTTTTATAAATTTGCTATTTTATTACTGACATTACAGAAAAACGAATACCATGGACGTATGGATATTTCATCTTCAGCGTTTTGAGAGATAAACATTTACTTACAATTATACAAAATAAAGAAATGTTAATTGAACACCTTGTCATCTAAAAAAATATAACACTTTGAAAACTGCACATTCATCTCACTGGTATATTTAGATCTTCTGATCAGCGTCGCTCAGATGATAGTAAGTATATCTTGCACAGTCTAGTGACAGTAGTCTGGCACGTTCCTACCCCAGGCAAGGTAGCATATTGTCGTGGGAGAAAGCAGGAAACGACACCTAATTTATATCAATCATTACGACTCTTACAGGGGATTAAAAAGTATTTTTTCTAATACACTTAAGTACTTCGTTATTTGAATTGTTGAGTAACGCGTGGGTAATTATATTCATTTAAGAAACGAAGATTAATACACACAGTTTCATTCTCGGGTCTCTCATCAAAAATATAAGTTAAGGTGGCTAGAGTGCAAGAGAGACACAATACGGTCTTAATAATTAGGAACTGACAAAGAAGCTGATTTTGACAAAATGTACACGGGCAATTTGTGGATGTTTGAATCGCATCGTGAACAGCAGGAAACTTGTCCAACTGCTGGACGAATACTTTTCCTTAAATGGAGATGAGCCAATTATTGGAGTGAAGGGGGAACGGGGCCCAGGCTTCTCGGGCCATGCGATATCCGTCGTTCGAGTCGCCTGGTTTTGGGGGGCCTTTGGGGGCGCGGGTGCGGAAGACTCACCATGGGGGCGCGGGCAGCGGGCCGCGGGCGGTGGCGTCGGCGGCCGGGGCGGGCCGGGCGTGGGCGGCGGGCGCGGGCGCGGCGACGGCCGGCGACGCCCGGCGCCCGTCGCTGCGGCCCGCGGCGGCGGGTGGGCATCGGACTGGCCGCGGCTCGCCCGCGCCGCGCCCGCGCTCGCCCCCCGCCGCGCCCCGCCCCCGCCCGCGACCGGACTAATGCGCCCCCACCACCAGCAAAAAGCGCCCGCGGAAGTTTGACGTTCGATGTGTCGCCACCGCTGCCCCAACGCCCTCCCCCTCCCCTGCCCTACCTCGCCAGCCCCGGGCGACAGTGCGTGACTCCGGGCCCGAGCGATAGCGCGCGCCGAGTTGGAAGGCCACTTTTCTAGATGCATAGTTCACAGCTTTCTTCGACGCTTCTCTGTTTTACTTCCCAGATACGAATCGAACTGCACTTGGTTCGCCGAGAGCGCACGAGTCGTGGCCGCCGGCACGCAGAACATCCTCCCTCCTCACCTGCGCCCTTTGTCGCCACCCTTCTCTCCCAAACGCGCCACCCCGCCTCCGCTCGCGCCCGGGCTCTTGCCCGCCCGCCAGCGGACAGCTTTTTCATGTCCACGGCACCAAATAGAACATCTTAATGCAACAAGGCACGCGCGACGCGCGTTTTATTAGCGAGGGGCTCTGTGTGGTGCCCGGCCCGCTGAGGCAGCGTGCCTAAAGAGGCCAAAGCACCCGGACGCCACAAAGGGCCATCGACGACCAAATCTCCGTCGATCGAGCTCTTCGTTCTCTTTCCCAGCGATCCTTAACACTAATGCTGTGGCCCGAAGCCCTTAATAGCAGGTATTGTCTTCCCCCACGCTACATGCAATGTTTATTGCGTATTAACTTCCTTTATTATTATTATTATTATTATTATTATTATTATTATTATTATTATTATTATTATTTACAGTCCGGCTATTCTCTTGAGAGTTGTCAGTAAGGTAAGTTTCCCCTGGTTGCGTTACGGGCGCCACGCAGGGATAGTTTGGTGGTGGGGCTGCCACCTTACTGCCTCCAAACTTGCAGGGCAGATTTTTCGGGTTATTATTATTATTATTATTATTATTATTATTATTATTATTATTATATTACTATCTCTAGTTCTATTACTAAATTGCAATCGTCTTTTTATAACAGAGGCTCGAAGAGAATTAAAAACTACTGGTTCTTCTCTGTACTAATAGGATCTCCATGAAGAATGTAACTATATGTTCTATTTTTATTTTAGTCACATGCCAACACATACTTTCTCGTGTTCTACTGAACTTCAGAATCGTTCGAAATTTCAGAGAGTTCAACGGCAATGAGACCTCCACAATGTTTGTATGCGTCCTTTGCTCTATTTGTGTGTGGGGGGAAAATGGAGTCGTTTTTGAGAAAATGAACAATTTTGCACGTGTAGTAGAGATTTTACTAAGAACATAATTGTTATTGTTTAATTATTGTCATGAACGCTTACGAACATTGCGCTAATTGCGATGAAAATATCAAATTGAAAAATAAGAGAGGAGTGGCAGATTATGTCGTCTATGATTCTTGTTAATCGAAATTTCATTCCGAGTGCACGCCATTAATGACCTTGAAAGTGAAAATGTTTGCTGCGAGATCATCCCCGAGGGCGATACGTACTGCTCAGCTTGTGCCTGTGGTGAGATAAATGCATTGGACATACGCCGCGTGCTCCCTAATCTTACAGGTCGAATAACAGAGCTGCAAAGGACAAACCGTGATCTCAGTGCCGAAATAACTCTGAAATAGTCTCCGGTATATCTGCTCTTAACAAACACTAACCTTCGTTTCGAAGGGTATTACGCTGAATTTCTCTATCATAGATAAAAGGAAAGATGTTATAGTATTTAATTTACCTGAGAGCATTTTTTTGTTAACAGCAGAGCGAATGTATGAAGATAAGAAAGCTATTGTCTCTACTTTACGTACACATAGTAATGTTGAAAATGATGTATCGGTATTTAGAACAGGAAAACCTAGACCTACTCAATCGTTGGGTAATTCACCTGACCCTGCTGGCGCTTAAACCTGACTCTGTTCTGTAACTTTTCACATATTTTATGAATTTAAATCATTCAGAATCTAAATTTATGTCAGAATCCAAATCGTTCACGTTCTACGGATGAGTATAATTGTAGAATTGACTACCGCATCTTCATTTTTTTGCTTCGTCTGTATTTGAAAAGTTCAATCAAATATATTTTACTGAAGTCTAGCAGAGCCGTCGCGGAAAGGCTCTGATGCTTTAGAGTGGGTTCTCAGCACTGAGTAGATGATGTGTTTTGGCAAGGCAATGCGAGTGTATCCCCAGCTCTTGCTCGTGGACATCGGATACGTAACTTCTAATCGTGTTCTAATCGCACTCGCCATGTTTTAACGCAGGACTCAACTCGTTGGTGATAAGTCCAGCTCGTGGTTCTTTGGAATATCCTCTCAAAACGAAGAATGCTGAAATGGCAGTGACTGTTCAGTCGACCCCAAGCTCATTTAGAATAGGCTGTGCGTAAGCGGTGCTCTGTCAAAGCAAACAATAATCATAAAGAATGGTAATCCAATTCCAAACGAAATTTAAAATAATTATTTCATTTCACATTAATTGGATTGAATAATTTTCATTTTCTCTTGTGGGAGTCTAGGCGACTTATTCTTAAAAATGTAAGAACATTGGGAAAATGAACTTAGTATGAGTATAAGTATGTATAGCTAAGAGTGTTGGCATTGTGATGAATGTAGTGATGAATGTAACTTTCTATCATTCTATCTATCTACCTATCTATCTATCTATCTATCTATCTATCTATCTATCTATCTATCTATCTATCTACCTATCTATCTATCTATCTATCTATCTATCCATGTAAACTATCAATCTAATCTACCTATCGAACTACAAATCTATCACCCAATCAATCAATGAATCGACATATCAATTTTATTTATCCATCTATATACTTATTTATTTCACAAATGAAAAACAAAATTGAAAAATATTTATCATTAACCGATAAATGGATGTTTTTTTATAACATGCAAATTAATACATAAATGCACGTCCAGGTGATTTATCACATAATTGACAATGCCGCGCGGATAATTTGTCACAGGAGATTTCTGAAACTGGATTTGTTAATATTCCATTAGTGTTGTAGCCAGTGTATTAATACATCCCTTCTCTCAAATCATCAAATATGATTAATCAGTGAAAGCACACACTGGGGTACTTACCTCTTGGATCGGAGTGTAGCGTATGGGTATTTCATGCGCCAGACGATTACAGGCCTCGCAGGTCGAGGGCGAGGGAACTGTCTCTAGGCACCATCTTCGCAAATAGACTGGTTAATAACATGCGCCCGTGTGTTCAATTGCGGCGTCTGGACACCTTCTTCGGAACAGTTCCAACCGTTTGCCGAGACCCACGACCTGCGCCAACTCACAGGGGTCTGCCTCAGGGGCCCGCGCGTTGCGCAAGGTGTCATGCAACCAGCGGGACGCATATTGCACGTCTCGCACAACCGTACATACCTTCATTGTCCGCCTGGTGGAAGTTTCCGAAACAGTAATAACAGCCAGTGGCGCCCAAAGAAAACAAAAGACCTGGGATAGTGAATCCACGAAGTCATCTTATTTGAAACAAAATCCCCGCCCCGACATAAACAGAACTCATCTCCCGATGCAACAGAATGAACTTGTAGCAGTTAATTTGAATTATAAGTAAATAAAATTTTGTATAATTTAAAAGAGGGAAACTCGGAGCCTGAATGAAGTCGGGGCCTGAAGCAAAGCACCCTTCTGGACGCCACTGGCCACAGTAGCCGGGCGGCCGCGAGCCGCTCCAGCAGGCAGCGTGCGACGGCCCGCCCGCGCGTGGCGTGGGGTGCGTGAGTGGCTCGGGAGCCGGGGGCGGTCCGAGTTGATTGAGACGTACCGAGTCGGGCTGCAGGCGGATGTCCTTGCCCGCCGAGGCGAGCAACAGGCGCAGGATGGAGGTGGCGGTGCCCGTCTGTCGGCTGGCCACCAGGTGCACGGCCGTTTGCTGGCGCGGCTGCAACACACAACGACCCGTCACTCCCACGCAAAGACGCTGGCCGGAATTTACCCTGCTCCGCGCACGACCAAAACGGTTCACTTTCACGAAATGCAAGGGAGACGAACGTAACGGTTACAGTGAATCGTGACCCGCGGAAGGAACATTAAATACCTAACCCTTCATCATGAACATCATTTTATACTTCACTGTTGCGTTTAGAACATGACGGAAGACACTGTTAGGCCAAATTAATACTCCCTCTGTATCGGAACTCAAGTCGCGCCATCAGGGCTTTTTTCTAAGCGGACGTGTTTTGTACTGCGCCACTGTGAAATGCGTGATATTACACCCTTCTCTCTGTACCATCATTTAGCATTCCTGCAGACCAACGTACGATTGAACATCCCATAAAAATCCCATTCTCTCAAAGTTTTGAGAAAAAAATTCCGGAAATTTCCCAACTGACGGATGTTATGGTATATCATATTTGTCGGCGTTTAAAACCCCAAATAGTTTTGTAGATACATTTAAAGCACACAACCGTCACACACGCTGGAAACTATACTTTAAAATACCCTCGAAATCGAGTCGCACGACGCGTCTAGCGGCCAAACAAAATTTCCATTCGTTTGGAAACATGTCATGTTTAACTGCCCCCACACGTGCTACTTGCCTGCCTGGGAAGCCTGCACTCCTGCGGCCAAAAGCAACTTGCCCTGATTCGGCTCTCACTTCCCCTCCAAAATCAAGCAAGAGGTCTTTATTGAATATTAAAGGAAATTGAATTTGACAATTTGATGTGTAATGGAAATAAACTTTCTGACAAAGGAAATAATGGCTGGTCGACTTTTACCAGCGTTTGAGTAGAAAAATTTCAGCGTACGCGCGGAAGCTATAGCTTATTTGCCCATAAGAGCGAAACCGTTCGGATATGACGGCGAACGTTTGCTTCATACGAAAAAATGTTACCGAACGTTTTCTTGCAGACAACCATATTTGAATTACGTTTATATACTTTATTACTTAATAATTTATTTCAGCTTTATCTTCGTATCAAATTCGGCTTTGAAAATCATTTTACCCGAAGAGCAGAAATATATTTGAGTGGCAAATTATTTGCTTTTTTTGTTTTGTATTATGTTTTATTAAATGATTTTGTTATTTGTTGTTTGAAACAATAATGGAAAATAAATTGACTAATATGTAATCTATCTTCTCTAGTAAAATCTTCTCTTAGATCTGTTATATCACTCTCACTCTGTCAAACAAAAACCACACAAGAAAATCCAGTTAAATCATCAAACTATAACAATCCCAAAAAGCAAAGTTCTGTTAGTGCTTGCTACTACTACTCATTACTATGAGCTGTTTTTGTTGTATTTACAGCTTTTCAATTTCGCAACAGTTTTCATGTTAAATTGTTTTGAACTCGATTACTTTAGTACATTTCTATATATATTTTAAATATTCAACATGAGAAACGATTTAAAAGAAATAATATTTAGATGTAAACATGAGAACAATTTTTTTATAGTTTTTTTTTACTTAGAATCAGATTTTGAGACATCTGACTCGCATTGAAAAGAAGTTTTGCACCATCTGAATTGTTGTCTGGGTGTTGCGTACATCGCAAAGTGCGGCGTCGGTCGCCTTATTGCTTAATTACGCTCCGTGAAGTCACAGACGGTTAGTAACTCGAAACGTGGGTTACCGAATAAAATATACCGAATATACCGGATAAAAGGCAATGATTGACAACGACTGACTAGGTTAAAGAAGGATTACGCTGCAGTTCCGTTCGACGCCAGTAAAGGGCTATAGTAGGAGTCAGTAAAGGGTGTTAGATAAAACTGCAGTAAGTAAATATTCGATCCGTCTTTACAAGGAATTTGGTACATGAATGACGGTTGCAAACTCCAGAGTTCACGAAACAGTGTAATCAATTGTAATGTGTTGATATGGTAGTATTTTCGAATAATAGGCCCAGCACATGTACAAAACAAGATTCTATGGGATATATTATAAAAGGAAGGAATATAAGAACTGAACTCTGGGTCGGAGTAACAATATTCGCATTTAAATTCGAAGATGATGCAAAACATTTTTTGTGCATATACTGTCACTTTGCCTACGCAACTTTAATTTAAAACACAAATATAATACTCGTAAGTTTATTGTACTGATAAATTGACAACAATAAACGGGTGTCTCCGTGAACAGGCGTCCCTGATTTTACTGTCGTGCAAATGCCAAAGCGAGAACTTGTAGGATGTGTCATCTTGAATTGAGCACACCAAGGGACGCAGTCACTAGTGTTTTAGTTTCGAACTTAGTTGGAACTTTTTTGTGTCTTTCATACATGAGAAATAAACATGAAAGCAGTTTTAACGTAACAAAGATAAATTCATTCATTTCAGTCGCCTGCTGATAAATTTAAATAAACTTGCTCATAACATATCTTTAAACTGACAGATACCTACTTATCTGCAATTATATAAACTTTAAACAGCGTACGATTTTTTAGATTATTTTTGCAGAAAACATAACTATAAAACAGAATCTTTACTAGTATATTATTGCATGGCGAAATGATGTCCTACTAAATATCGAGTTCGGTCAATGGCATACCCAATAGTGGCGGCTCATGAGGTTTTGCCCGCCTCTCAGAATCCGATATAAATAAAAAAATAATTTTTTTAGAACTTATTTTCTATAATAACGAAAGTTTTTCAGCATCTCAACTGAACATATTAAAAATAACTATAAATCAACACAAAATTAATTTTAAATTCGGCACAAATGAAAAATTCTTTTTAAGAAAAGATCCAGTCGATGGACACCACTCGTACAGCTCCCTGAAAGTATTTTGGTTGGCGCCAAGAGTATAACATTTGCTGTGGTTGGATGTTTCTCCCCCAACCGCGCTCCAACTACTACTGAACTGCAAACACACTCAAACACTGGCCAGCGCTACGGCTACTCGGGGCCCCGCGGGCGGCCGCTTGTTAGGGGGCGTAGGCGCTAGAGGCATGCGGGAGGCACAGCACGGGGCGCGGGCCCGGGCGCGGGCGACGGTGCACAGACCAGGCCGGGCGGCGTGGGCGGGCCCGAGGGCGGCGGGCGCGTCGGCACGAAGGGCGGCCGGCCGTACTGCGGGCGCGGGCGCGTGGCCTTGGTGCCCGCCTTCGGCTTCGCCTTACTCACCCCGCCCGCCGCGTACACGTCCACGCCCTTCTTCGCCAGCAGCAGCTTCACCACGTCCTCGCGCGAGTGCATCGCCGCGATGTGCAGCGCGTTGAAGTTGTCCTGCGGGCAGAGAAAGACGTCAGGCGAGGGCGCAGGCGCGGGGCCGCGTCCGCATCCAGATTCAGGCTCGCGTCCAGACTCGGGTAAGATCGAGACCCAAAGATCCAGATTCAGACACAAACCCAGAAAGAGGCGCAGGCTCAGGCTCATCCAGATTACTACTCAGATTCAAATCCAGATCCGATTCACGTTAAAATCCGGACCTAGATTCAGACCAGGATCCAGAAGCAGAGCGAGGCCCAGACAAAGACACATAAACAGACATTGAAAAAAGTATGCGTGTAGTAATGCGAACAGCGCAAATACTTTCCGAAGTATAAACTGTTTTTTAACAAAATTTGTAATACTCACTAAACAATAATTTTAACATTAAATTGTTTATATGCAGCACTATTAATACTTAATTGAAAAAAGTGTTAAAACATGTGTAACAAATTCACTATTCAAAATAAATAATGAAACATTACTCTATAAATAATCAGCACATTGTATTATTTGACTTGAATTAAATGAAAATGCTCCACACCATAAAAAGTCCTCACAGACCTATTTTTAAATGTATAAAACGTCATTAAAATGCGCAATTGAAATACATTTCTTATTTAGGTTCTGATGTGTCTTGCTTGCAGATGAAAGAAGCTTGCTTAAGTTGTCCCGGATACTATAATAGATCATACTCGCACATATACTGAAAAATGGAAACAGTTGCTTCATTTGAGATTGTCAGAAGCGCAGCATATGATGAGCATGGGTCACTGTGTACAGATGGAAACTCTTGTTTCTTAAGATACTGAATATCTATTATGAGAATGGTCTGCGACCGAACAACTTTCAGGAAATTAATTTGGTTCATATAATTCTTCGTATGTGGATTCCACAAGCTGACAAGGAATTTCCACGAACCATTTGGTACCCGAAGTCGCCCCGTGACAGCACACTCCCTACATCTGTTAAAATATGAATGTCTTCGCTTTCTACCTCTCCAAATGGTGTTTGTACTTGTCCATCTCTTTCACAATTACCAGTTCGTAATTCATTATTTATTCCTACGGTTTAGAACCCTACTTGAAAAAACGATATTTGTCGCTGTAGTTGCACGAAAATAATTCGTCATCCTGAAATGTGCACGGATACTCGCATATGTGATTGAGAAATAACTGCGTATGTGAAACCCAAGGAAACAGGGTTGCGCATTGTGTCCGACTTAAGCCAATGAACTTCAGATACCAGTTAGCGTCACAATACTAGCGGGAATTTTAAATGCAGCCAGTTATCAAAACAATTATGTCCTTGTTACAAGTCATTAAAACAGACATATGAAACATTTTGTAAAGAAAATATTGCAACTTTTATTTGAGGTACACCGTCGTGTTATTTGTCGTTAAAGATTGTCACTTTATGCCACTTGCAAAATGTTTCTCAACACTTCTTCCTCTCTCTATAGCGCCCTTCGATTGGTCTGCTTCAAACGAAGTTCCCGTGTTGTGGTCACGTGGTTCGTGACCCAAACTGCTGCGCAGTACGTCTAACAATCTGTGAGCCGGAATATCCCATCCATATCTTTCCACCATGTTGAAACTTACTTCTGAATCCTTGTACTGTACGATGCTACTCATTGAAGACAGTAAGTTTTCGATTCCGAGGATATATCGCGTAATTTTGATTATATTTGTAGTGATAGGAATGTTTTCTAGGGAAGGAAGGAAGCGATTTGATCTGCACCAGTACGAGAGGTGATTAGTAAAGGCATTTACTACTCACACAAGAATCACTGTATGGGCTACCTCTGGGATAGCCGAGATACGTGATAAGAAATTTTAGATATATTTAGTCCTTTCGGAGGAAATATAGCAGTACGTTAGGTTGTGTGCTATATCGAGGCCAAATTTTACCCGTAAATGGGTAGAATGTTTGTTTTGCGTGAGCAACGTTTTGCGATACGATCCCACTAAGAAATTACAGAGTTTTCAGTACGTTCCATCGAGTCCGATTTGGGTACAAAACAAGCTTTCAGAAAATGCCCAGAAAGCTGAGAGTTGCTGTTAAGTGTAAATTGAATCAGGTCCTAAACGAGATAACAGTGAATGAAAAACCGTATTACTGTAAATGGCAAACATCAAGGTGAACCTCATAAATCGGAAGGTTCTTCCGATTACATATCGGAAAGTGATGAACAGCCAGTTTCGCCCATTCTCACCCAGAGGTGAGATTGGTGACTACGAGATTGGAGCCGGCCAAGCGTGGAGATACCAAGGTGGCTTCGCCTATCGCACTCGATATCATTCCATGTCAGACAAGCTATCTCAATCTCGGCACGGTCTTCTACTAGAGAATTGTTCATCCGGCCAGCTCAAGTCAATGGTTCCAACAGCTGCTCCGAGCCGATCTGGGCGCGCGGGCCCAGAATCTCGCTCGCGTGCTGCGTTGTGTCGAGGAGGGGGTGGGTGACACTCGGCGGCTCGGCGAGGGAAATGGGGAGAGTAGTGCGGGCCGGTTAAACGCCTAACAGCGGTCCCGCCTAATCGGCTCCCACGTGCATGACACAGGGGCAACGTAAATTATCTTGCGCTTTCCGGCCTTCCTGTGGGGTAGTGTGCGCAAACACGCAAGACGGCTGGAATAGAATTAAAAAGCAATATAATAGCTTTAGGGATTTTAAGACCATGAATAGCGATATTAAACTTCTTCAAATTCTTTTGCTGTGCACATCGTAAAAGTCAGATCACAAAGCTGTGTGAAATTGTGTATTTGCAGTCTGTCACTCACTTAAAAAGTTTTTTTTGTAAAAATTATACACAAACACTTGTTTGGTATTTCCAAAAATTTCGAAAATATTTGTTGTAGGAAAATAAATTTTTAATTGGATTAGAAATATATTTTGTAAAACAATATTATGAAGGAGTTTTAATTAATAAAACTAAAAATACGATAAAAATAGTGTGGAAACAACGTTTTCGCATATGAGGGAGCTAGGAACCAATGGAAAATTTATTTTGGATAAAAATACCTGTACTTTTACTGCCTCATCAAAAAAAAAATTAAAGATGATCAGTGCTTAAAATTATTTTTTTGCACATAAATGAATATTAAACATTTTGTATAATTAAGAAAATTTTCCAAAGTAATACCAACAAGTCTGGTGCATCCAATTAGCAGCTTCTCCTCACTGGAAATTTGCTATCAGGTCTACGATACAAGACGCGTTCATGAAAACGTTCTGAAGGCCATTTGCTTACCCTCTGTGAAAAGGCACTGCCTATGCATTTCTCCCTCTACGCCTTCCCTCCCATAAAATAACTTACTGATTCAAAATTATATACTCAGACATTCCAGCAATTATTCAATACACAAGTAATTACTTCTTATTTTAGCTCCACTAATGGCACACAATAATTCTAATCATCAATTATTCCTAATGAATTGGAACGCATGTGGCATCATTAAAAAAAACCAACTCCATTTCGAAAGTCTGCTTAATCCGAATTAGAATCCTGTGAAATTTTTTTAAGTTGAAGAAATTAGAATTTTTTTCTGTATTAAAAACTACTACTATCTAAACAGTAAGCAAAAGAGGTACGTCCATTCTCCCTTCGCAGTGGTTGCGCTATAGCTTCGACTAGTTTGTCCAGTCATTGTTGCTTATATCCCTAACCGCAACAATAACTTTCTTCCGAGTTATTGTTTTGTGTAGAGATAAAAACTTCACCTTATGTATGTAAAAAAATGTATGTAATGCTAATGTATGTAAAAATCCGCTTAATCCTAGAAATTCGTTAAACTGAAACACTTTCAGTCACAATTATTTCGGATGATCGGGACTCGACTGCATGAATGCAAATGTGTACATAGTGTCTGTTACGGATCACACACAAAATTGCACACGTGTAGATGTGTCGTGAAAACTACGATGACAAGCGAATTGGAGACTATTGTAGACTACGATTGACCTTTGGGTTACCGACGACATCTGCTTTCAGAGTTGAGGTCAACGAGATCTCAGGATAAGCAAGTTTCCGTTCCGGGACTGTACTTCCCGCAGGAAGTCTGCATGCTGGATTCGAACGAATTAACAGGGCATCAACGGATGGCACTGCAGTGCCTCTGGCCGGAAGGTCCTAGGTTCGAGTTCCGACGGTAGCAAGATTTTCGATACTAGCTGGAATGCTTGGTCAAATTCAGTCGCTGTCTGGCAGAGAATTCCCGCGGTCGGCTGCTCTGATCGTTAGTTTTCTGTGGTTTCTTCTATCAATAACAAGCGAATGCCGGAGCAGCAATCTAATAAACGGGCCACGGACCCGTGCGCGATTTTTCCTTCCTTTTCCTATATTCTCTTACTTACACGCATTACTCTTACATCCACTACACTACCACATATGCCGGGAGACTAGTCGGGAGCTTAAGAGCTTGTCCCGGCATGAGCGGTACCCAGCTGATGAAAGATACTTGGTTAGGGAAACCCCCGACGGTATGTGTGCGTCAGATCTCATTATCCATCGGAGGAAGATCATCGCCATCTCTCGAGAAAAACACATGCACTACACTGCCGGGACTAATGACCTTAGCTCTTAGCAGTTGACGCGCCTGGAATCAAAAATTAATCAATTATTAATAGAACAAGTTAAAACTACCAGTAACTGAACATCACCACGCTATTGGATAACGTTAGCTGAGAAAACAAGCGACAGATACGAACCATAACCTTTAATGACAGAGTTTCATGAGCACTTTTTTACTGACCCGATCCCATACGAGTTCATCCTATTCATTCATCAGACCAAAATATCAAGATTGTTTTCCGGAACAACTTCAGCGGTGTAAAATTCGATGCAATATATATTGAAATGTATCCTAGTAATTCACGTGAAGAGAAATCTTGTAAATTTTAAGAAATAAAACAGAGACAATAAGATGGCTGTATCGTGAACAACGATTTTCTCTACAAATGTAGACTTACTGTAGCCAGTGGAAATGAAATCCAGGGCAGTAGCGACGTTATAATG